AGGAGTGACATGGTCATACACTGTGATACGATCACTCTGACTGATGTAAGGAATAGATGGGAGACAGGCAAGCCTGGGAGCAGGAGGCCATTTAAGAGGGCATTTCAGCAAACCCAGGGAAAGATGAGGGTGCTCTGGTGTTAGCAGTGGAGATGGTAAGAAATAGTCCAACTCTGGACATATTTTGAAGGTGGAACTAACAGGACTTCTTCATAAATTGATATCAAACATGAAAGATAGGAGTCAAGGATGAATCCAAAGGCCTGAGCAACTGGAAGAGCAGAGTTGCTATGAGCTGAGAGGGAGAAAACTGTGGGACAGTACTGGGGTGGGGGTGGGAAGAAAATCAGGAGTTCAGTTGGGACATAGTAAGTCTGAGATGTCTATTACACATCCAAGTGGAGATACCAGGCAGGTTGCTGCATATGTACCTAGAGTTCAGAGGAGAGGTTTGGACTAGAGACAGAAATTTGAGAGTCATCAGTGTACAGATGTTATTTAAACCATGAGACAGGATGAGATCACCAATGGAATGAGAGTGAGTGACAGTGAGAGGGAGAAAACACTTAGCTTTATCTTTGGGATATTCCAAAGATAGGTTGCCAGAGAAAGGAGGAAACTGAGAAGTGAACAAAAAGTAAGGAAAAAGGAAGGCCAAAGGAAAGCTCTGGAAGTCAAGTTTATCAGAAAGTGTATCAAGCTGAAGGAAATATTCAGCTGAGTCAAATACTGCTGAAAGATCAAATGAAATGAGGACTGAGAAGTAATCGATTTAATATGTAAGAAGAGCAGTTTCAGCAGAGTGGTAGAAATGAACACCAGATTGGAATGGGTTCCAGGGAGAACAGGATTTGGAGACAGCATTGATAAATTTTGAGGTGTTTTGCTGCCAAAAGGTGCTAATTTTGTAAAAGATGGGCTAGATAATAGCATGTGTATACTCTCATAGAATAGGGTAGGGGGAAACTAATGATGTAGGACAGGGGAGAAATGATAGCACAAAGACATGGAGTGGAGCGATTGGCTTTGACAAGGAGCACAGACTATCGAGCAAAGGCACGGTGAAGAATAGATATGGGTGCACAGTAGTGTGTGAGATGATGCTGTGGGAGTCAGTGAAAGTTCTCAAGTTGCTTCAGTTTCCTTAGTTAAGTAGTAAGCAAGGTCATCTGCTGACAGAAATAATCGTGGCCCAGAGAAATAGTGAGGCCATCAGGTAGTACTGAGTGCCTTCTTAAAGTTCTGATCATGACTATAAAGTGAGATTAGCCACCTTGGCTGTTTTCTCCAGCTACATTCAGCTACATGGGTGCAAATGCAGAGCAAGTAGACTTAGCCAAGGATGTGGTTTTGGCAAGTAAGTACAACAAAATGAGTAAAAGGCAAGGAAGTTGAGGGTTTATTCAAGAGTGATCCTGATTGACCATGGAACATAAACAAGCTGGGTAAGGAAGGAAAAGAGGACATCAAAGTGGTGAGAAGATGGCAGTATCACCTTACTGATGGTTACGGTGACTCCAAATTAATACAGTTGGGATATTAGGGGGAATGGGCTGGAAAGGTAACAGGTGGTCAGAGAGAAGGACGCGTGAAAGTAAAAACCATGGAGTGGTTGAATTTATTGGTAATGACAGGAATGAGTGCCCAAGGAAGGTGAAAGACATAATCACTGGACTTCTTAAGGGAACTGAGAGAAGTCTGTTGGGAGGATCACTCAGGAGAGTAGTTCTCAAACTTTAGCATGTATCAGAATTACATGGAGACCCAATTAAAACAGATTGTCAGATCCCACCCCGTTTCTTGATTGAGCCTGAGAATTTTCAGTTTCCTAGTGCTGCTGTGGTCCAGGGACCATACTATGAAAACTACTGATCCATAGGTATGTTGAAGTTGCCAAGAATTAAGATAGAAATAGTTTTGTAGAGTGACAGAAAGCCAGGCCAAAAAAAAAAAAAACTTGTCAAGAAATAAGTAAGAGTGGGCTAGTAATTGGTAGAAAACTCAACAGTTGGGGCAGTGGGTATATTATCTGAAAATGAGATTAAAAGCTTTGAGTTTTTATGGGGACTGGTTAGAAATCGTGTGGCTGAAACACTGGTTGGTAGCAAAACTAGTAAGGCAAGGGTAAAGGCATATTGTTAAGGGTCCGGCATGTGTTTTATCAGTGTTTTAATAGTCAGGGCCTTTCATTTGGTAAGCAGCCTGGTGTAAGTTCCCCTGATTAGGGACTCTCTGGTAAAACTGCTACTGTATCGATCTTAGAGTGACTGCAATTATACCAATTCATATTCCAGTAAAAATAAACATATTAATTAGGAAATATTATCTCACAAAACTGGGTATCACTTTACATTAAGATTAGCAATGCTGACATCTGATGAGAAAAAAAGACTTAAGAGCTTAACAGTAGGGCAACACAGGACTAAGAATATACAAAAAACAATACAGAATGGAACTGTGAAAATACGAAGTAGGGAAGTCTACAAGGCGGTCAGAAGTCAAGTCAGGGCACAGACTACAATGTGGGATCATCACCTGGGCCCAACCTGTGGCTCCAACCAATTACTCATGAGATTTTTTTCTAGCCAAATCATTTAATGTTTCTTAGTTCCTGACTTGTTAAATGGGTCTATCATTTATGCCACGTGCCTCAGAGGAACGCTGAGGGCTAAATTAGATGGTGAAAATGTGATATGCTATACAAATATGAAATTATTATAGAAGTCATATTAAGCTATCCTTAGAAATCAGGGCAGAATACATACTAAGTATATAAAAGAAAATGGAAAAGAAAAACTGGTATCCAAGGAGAATAACGCTGAGGTGTATAGAACAAAGGATTAAATGTACAATGTGGACAGTTTCAAGTTCAATGTATTTTTGAAATGCAAGCCTTATGAAGGCATTACTGTTTATTGACTTTTATGTTGAATAACTTATTTTTATAGACAGTTGTCTCCTTAGGAATCATACCTTTGGACCATAGTGACTGGTACTTAACTGGCTTGAACTTTTCTCTCCTACTTCTAAAATGAGTTATCTGTACTGCTGCTATGTATTAAGAAAAACGCAGGACCACATGCACATTTTTTTAAAAAATTTTTTTGGGAGCAGGCAATTAGATTTATTTTTAATGGAGGTACTGAGGATTGAACCCAGGAACCCCTGCATGCTAAGCATGCACTTTACCACTGAGCCATGCCCTCTCCCCAAAATGCACTTACATGCACCCCACGCATATTGCTATCCTAGCTTCTGTTACCTGGATTTGAAGTTACCTGCTGTAGTCAGAATATACAATTGAAGGCAGGGATTGTGCCTTGTCAAAATCCTTCAGTGGCTTTCCAGTCACTGTCCTTAAGATAGTCTAAACCTTAATATGACATAAAGGCATCTCAAGATCTGGTCCCACTATCTCCAGCCTCACCTCACTACTTTCCTCTATAATCAGAGATTTAGCCGTATTTCTACTCTTTGAGAACCTTGAATGTGCCAGACCTGACTTAACAGCTTTTGCATAGGCTGTAGCTTGTTCCATTCTTCTTGGCTCTTACTCTTCTGGTTTACTTTAGATATTAGTTCCTCTGAGTCTCCCTTGAACCCCCTTCTCAAGTCTGGGTTAGACTCTTGCATGCACACCTTCCACTGTCCACATTACACGTCTCACGTTACTCTAACAGCATGCTTAATCACCTGTCTCACTAGACCAAGCTCCATGAAACAGATTCACAGTCTTGTTCATCAGTTTCTACCACTTAGCATACCTGGATTTAGGAGATGCAACATAAATACCTGAGGTACTCTGAAGCTGCCATTGGCAAACACTTGGCACCCCCACATTCAGTCATAGACAGCCTAAACAGTTCTCTGCTAGGAAGCAAAACAAACAGAAAAAAGTAACAGGGCTGCAGAAGTCAAGTGGCCACTTCAGGGAGCCCACTGCTATTTTAACCTAAGAAAATTCTGTACATGTGCTGTTAGCCACCATCCGAGGTGTGCCATATGGCAGAGGAGGAGGAAGTAGCAGTGAGGTGAGTAGTAAATGTTTATTTTGAGGACATTCTGTTGTGATCATGTGGTTAAAATGAAATCACATTACATATCATGACTCAATTAGGCCTCTGTAAATTCTCAATAGTGCTAGCTGATCTCATACCTTTAAATTAAAAAAAAAATTGTACTACTCACTCATGTGTGCAATAGAGAAACTCAAAAATCACCATTATTGTAGAAGTATCTTTTCAGTCTTTTGCTATTTTAAGTCACTGAGTGATTTTTGAAAAGAAATAGTTTCAGTTCTGACCACCTGCAGTAAGTGAGGTATACTTCATGTTCAAGAAGAGTAGCAGTCTCTCTCTGGGAGACTTGTTACCTATCACACAGAAAAGCTGTGCCCTTTTTTGGCTAAAGCAGCAGTATTCTAAATCAGCTAGCAAATTTGGGACTGACTGGATAAAGGTTCAATACTATTAAAGGATTAATACCATATTGTGAGCCATGATGCTTTTCCAATATGAAACCCTCTTTTGGTTATTATCAGCTGGTACTTCATGTGCAGTGGCTGCAAGAAAGTTACAACAGATTTAGAAACACATGAATGATGGTTAAGACCCCCAGGAAAAGCCAACAAATGATCAAATTGCTCTCAAATCCTCAATAATATGGCTCAACATGACAAATTGATACCTAATCACCTGTATTTATTTCAGGACATAATATACTATTTAGACCCATGAATGATACTAAATTATAACCCTGTTAAATATCTACAGGATATTATATCATTGCAAAGATAGGTGCTTAAAAAAAGATTAATAACATAACACATGTTAAAATTAGATGAAAAATACAGGTCACTGGTTTCATTCACTGTTTTAGTGTTAAGATGTTACAAAGATACACAGAGTATCACTTTGCTGTTCTCTCCTGGGGAGGCTATATTCAAGTTCACAAAAAGCACACATTTATAGACATAGGTGTTGTCAAAAGGGTCTTTCTGATTTTAGCAAAGAAAAACAGTCCACATTTTATTCTTTATACTACTGCCATGATTTAACTACATTATGTTTGGCACATGGTGGTAATATTTCTCCTACTGGAGCAAGTTCTAGTTTTCTCAGTCTTTCCCCTGACTTTTCTAGAAATGAAGCTTAAATATCATTTAATTGCAAGCCTTCAAAATAAAATGTTATCCTCATATACACACCAGGTTGGTATATTCAAATATAGCCTTTCCAACTGCAGGCTAAATAAGCAAAGACATGCATTTAGAGCTATATTAATATATTAAAGCAAAAAACAACCCAACCTAGTATCAGCAGAAACTGTGACCTTCCATGTGGTGTTTGATAGAGAAAACACTGATTCTGACACGTTATTTTATTCAAATACATGGTCCAAGAATAAACCAAATATGATCATATGTTGAAAACTGGTCTTCAAACATCATAGCCAATGATGCCACGCTTGCCTATGATCTCACCGACATAAAACCACATCCACACCTCAGTGGCCACCAAACCATTCAGCAGCGCTTCCTGAAAAAAGAACACAAAGTTGAATGCACATTTTTTCTTACAGATTTAAAACTATTCTCTTCCAGGACTAAGTGACAGAAAATACAAGGATGCTATTCAAATGAGAGGGTAATTTTAGTCAAAGTCAAGAATTACTGACGTTAACTTTAACTGCTGAGAACCCTTGAACTTTCAATTATGTAAGGTAAGTAGTCCAGAGCTTATAAATTCTTTCAAAGCATTCTTTGAAGACCTGAACTGACTTAACCCTTTCATTATTAGTTTATGAGACACTTTACGAGCCCTGAAACAACCCACATCCTGGAAATAGCTGCCACATTTAGACAGGGCATTCATATGAAAAGCTGGCTATAGTACAGCCAGTCTCTGAATAGTCATTTGTCTGGCCAAAGAAAATCTGTTGAAAGATGAAGGGCTTTGTCTTCCCTGTTGACATCATTTTTATTCATGTATTATTTGGTTTAATTCCTCCCAAGTGTTCAATAATTACTCAGTTTCACAGATCAATGTTTTATTGCCCTTTTAAAGAGAAACAAAGTATATACACGGTTTCAGAAACAGAGTGTTTCATACAAGCACAAATATGGATCCTGAAACACCAGTAGGAAAAAAATACCTTTCCACAACAAAATTGGGCCTTTTCCTGTTAGCACCTGGAAGTGAAATTTCCCCTTCAAATTAGACCAGAAATACTGGAATTCTGAAAAACAGTCATATTTTCCAGGATATAGGTTCCATAGGCAGCAATAATTTAGTTCTTTAGGCCTTTTGTATCATGTGCTTAGATCAAGCAAACGTAAAATCCAAGTTCCAATCCTTAAAATCTCTAGATTTTATCTCCATGCACTTCAATAACCCCTCATGGTATGTTATATGCTTGCTAGGTTTTGTTATTTTTATTCTCCATGAGTGTTAGCTGCCTGGCTGTGATATAGTTCAGGAAATCTTTTGGCCAAATTGGGGATAGTTCTAGGACTACAGTACAGAATCGGCAAAGTAAGCCATCCTATTTTAATACACTAACCAAAGGGAAAAAAACTGCCCAATAAAGATGATCACTTCTCTGTTATAAAATTAATAGGGAACTAAGACATAAAATAGCCCAATTATTTCAACCCAGACGACAAAATTAAAAAAGGTAAATATATTTCTCAGTAGTCAGAAGAGATTATCTCTCATTATGCTGGTTTCAGCCTCACTGGAAAAGACATATACTAATCAAAACAATCAGAAAAATCCCAAGGGAAGACATTTTCTGTTACGCACATACGTTTTCATTTAGCCCATAGTTACCTTAACTGTGAGCTGTTTGAAGCTACCAGTTCGAGCACTATTGACTATTTTTTTCAAGCTCTGAATAGCTGTAGGGATCTCAGCAGGGGTTGGAGGAACCAGCTCAACCTTGGCATAGTGCCAAAATGTGGCCAATCGAGGCTTCGAGTAAGTCACAGCAGCTGGAAAACAAAACAAAACAAAAAACCAGGATGAACTCACAAGAGACCGAAAGAAGCAGATGTGTGGGCTGGACACAAATATTTATTCATGCATCACATTCATTCACTGCTTGTACCAAGTGTGCACCCGGTGTGAAAAGTCAAAGCTGCTCCCTGGTAACCAGAGGCTTTTAAAGATGCAGAACACCTGTGTCACAAGGACGTTCAATCAGGCAGGAAGCTATCAGCACATTCAATTATGCCAGGACTTCACCAGTGACCAGTGAGTACTGGTACATTTATGAATAGCAAATCTAGTTAACTGTAAAGTTACTTGAAGTTGGATTCAAAAACAAAAAAACAGCAGCAATGTAACAATATTTTCTTGTAGAGACCAAAAAATCTGGAGGGAAGAGGTGCAGAAGGGGAGGGAAAGAGCCATGCAGAATGGCATCCTTAGAAATAAGATTAAAACTTGTCATAATATTGGCCACAAATCCAGATGGAATTATACTAGTTAGTACCCATTTTTGGTATCCTCATCAGTATGTGCTGGATTATCAAAGGCACAGCTGCTCCTCCTCCAAAATACCACAAATAATAAAAATAAAACCTACATGTATTGTTAAGAGCAGCCAAAACTTGAATCTATTACTAAGCTGAAATTCCTCAAGATATTTGCTATTTCAGGAAAAAAATTTTTAATAGCCAGGGTAGATGTGAGCCTATGATAGTGATTTCAGCAAGACAAAGGTATTTCATAAAAAATTACAAAACAGCCTAATAAAGATAGCACAAATGTATGAACACCCATAAAGTATCTATTGTTCAAAGATGTATTATCCAAAGCTCTTGGTACTTTTCCTATTAACTGCCTATATTTAGGTATTACACTAAGAATTACTGTTGCCATCATCCTCTGTGCTTAGGGCCATGGGTAAATCTTTAAGCAGACACAAAGCTCTAAGAGACAGTACTAAGTAGAACTGTCAAATGACTGTAAGATGGCACTATCAAGGAGAACAAAGTTTTGTTTAACATCAACAAACTGTCTTTAAAATTTAAAACTACCTTCAACACAGATATAATATTTCAAAAAAACAAAACAAAATCAGTACACTGTATTTGTCAGTAAATTTGTTAATCAGGGAGTATAGGTTAAAAAATTTGAAACTGCTTCATATGTACATAAGGGATTAACAAGACCAAAGTAAATGAATGGTGGATGATGAGAACCAGGTTTCTCACTGTCAGAGAGGGAAGTTACAGATGGGCCAGAAAATAAATCCCATGGTACTCAATGAATTACAGTTGGGAGACATATATGACCTCATGTTTAGTTTAATATATATACAGATGGCTAGATACAGAAACAATTACGGTTGACCTTGAATATGGATTTGAACTTCGAGGGTCCACTCATAGTGGATTTTTAAAAATAAATATGTAATATGGTACTACATGATCTGAAGTTGGCTGAATGCATGCATGGTGGGAACCATGGATATGGAGGGCCAATTGTAAAGTTATACTCAGATTTTCAGGTGCACAGGGCTCAGCGCCCCTAACCCCCATATTGTTCAATGGTCAACTCTGTGTGTGTGTGAACACTCACGGGTTAGTATACAGACAGGGCCCAATTTATGATGGTTTGACTTGTGTGACTTTTCAACTTAACAATGTGACCAAAGGGACAGGCATTCAGTAAAACTATTTCGAATTTTGATCTTTCACTAGGCTAGCGATAGATGGTACCATACTTTCTTGTGATGCTGGGCAGCAGCAGCAAGCAGCAGCTCTGGGTCAGCCATGCGATAAGAGGGTAAACAACCAACATACAACTATTCTGTTTTCCACTTTCAGTACATTATTCAAATTACATGAGACATTCAACAGTTTATCATAAAATAGGCTTTGTGTTGGGTGATGCTGCCCACCCATAGGCTAATGTAAGTGTTCTCAGCACGTTTAAGGTAGGCTAGGCTAAGTTATGACGTTTGGTAGGGTAAGTACAGTAAATGCATTTTTGACTTACAATATTCTCAACCTGTGACAGGTTTATCAGTGTGTAATTTTTTTGGTTTTTTGCGGGGGAGGGGCAGGCAATTACATCAGGATGTAATTTTATCCTAAGTTGAGGGAGATCTGTACACACATATCCCTGTCCACCAAGAGGGCTGAGAGGGAATGATATTCTAGTACAGCAGTCCCCACTTATCTGAGGTATCACTTTTCACGGTTTCAGCTGCCCGTGGTCAACCACTGTCCCAAAATATTAAATGGAAAATTCCAGAAATAAACAATTCATAAATTTTAAATTGTGCACCTTCTGAGTAGCATGATGAAGTCTCATGCTGTGTCCACTCCATCCTAATGTTGTCACAATGCCTACATCATCTGCCCCAAATTATCTCAGCATGTAGGCACTGCATCATCTATCTCACTCATCAGAAGGTTGAGTACAGCACAATAAAATATTTTGAGATCATGTTCACATAACTTTTATTGCAGTATACTGTTATAATTTATTAGCTATTGTTGTTAATCTCTTGCTGTACCTAATTTATAGATTAAACTTTACCACAGATATGTATGTATAGGAAAAACAGCACATACAGGGTTCAGTACTACCCGTGGTTTCAGGCATCTACTGGAGGTCTTCGAACTTATCCCCCATAAATAAGGGATGACTACTGTAGTCTAGTAACAAGAAACATATGCAGTACCCAGATCTTCGTTTCAGAACACTACTGTCCAATAAAAGGAACTAGGGCTCCATGGAGAAATGGCTGACGGCTGATTCTAAGGCTGGGGCAGGGAATATATGAGTCTGAAGCATCTAGTAGTACCAGTAAGTAAGGGGGAATGTCAAAGTGACAGAGGTGTCAAACTGAAAGAGTTTTCAATGGCTGAAGCTGGAATAATTTGAGCAACAAGTAACATCCTACTGGAGGTAGAGTATTGAAATAAGTGTCCATGAGTCCATACAACAAATGACTGAATAAATAAGACAAATAAATGGGGAAGAAGAGACAAATCTTTCTCACAGGAGAATTGTTTAAATATATGTAGTTATTTCTTCCTATGGGAGAGAGAATCCTGCCTCCCTCCCCAACTTAGTAACTAGCTTCTAAAGAATACAGTATTAAAAAAAAATAAAGAATCCACTGTGGAAAGGAAAAAAATAGTAACTTTAGGAGAAATCTAGTGAAATCACCTTAACCAAGTGATGAAAGTTAATTTCACTAGTGATATTATATGGCTATCACTTATGTCCTGATATGTGATTAGGTCACTTCACTTTTGTGGTATTCTTTCTCAAAATCCACAGCTCCAGGCTAATCACGAGAAAAACACCAGACAAATGCAGATTGGGGAACATCTCTTTATAGAATAACTACGTAGATACGTACATAGACACCTAAAGACTATCAAGGTCACAAAAGGTGATACCTTAAGACTGTCTAGGTCATGAAAGGTAAGGAAAGACCGGGAAACTGTCACATATCAGAGAAGACTAGGGAGATTGACAACTCATTGCAATGTGGTACCCTGGATTGGCTGCTGGAACAGAAATAGATTAAGTGGAAAAGCTGGTGAAATCCAAATAAAATCTCAAGTTTAGTAAAACAAACAAACAAAAAAACCCCCAAACAAACAAAAAGACAGACTCTATGACCTTTTTGGGGAAGAATGATGATAAAATTACTTATTTCTGTAAGCTTCTTTGTCCCCCAGAAGAATTAACAGATACAGTTAGTACTTTTTAAGATATTTAACATTAACATTTAATACACTGAGTTAAGTTATAAAGCAAAATATATTTCTACTTTAACATTATGGCTCCAGTTGAGTCCTCCTTTCTCAGTATTTCTGGAAGAATAAAAACTCGTATCTTTCAACTATTCATAATAATAGAGAAAATGATATATTTCATAATTAAAAATTATCTTCATATTACTTTTCTCTTTATAAATTATTATTAAAATTAGTTTGCGATTCCCCAAACCACACCACCTAAAAGATGTAAAAGCCATGGTAGGAGAAAAAAATCCACCTGAAATTTAAAAAAATTTTCCTTAAGTCATCCACAAAGTCAAAATAATGAAGCCTCTATTTCTTCTCTTTGTATTATGTAAAAATGTAGCGCTTTATCTCAATAAAGTTGCAAACTTAAGTTCTTTGGTAAAGTGTGTAAACTGGTAGTAGTTGTGGACTTTGGCGTTCTGTAGGAGGAATCAAGTATTTATAGTATCTGGCACTATAAGGCCTTCCATACTCATTGTTGGGCTGCTGATGGAGGAAAGGAAGGACGCAATGAATAAGAAAATACCTATCACAGTAAAACAGGTTCAAAAATTCACATATTAAAAAAAATTCTTTCTCTTCACTTTCATAACCAAATTTCAGCAAAAGCTATTTAAAGATCTGCGCTTCAACCACTTACTAGAATGTAGCACATCAATTGAAGAAGTTTCCGACAACTTAACTGATCTCACTTCGGGAATAAAACGAATAGCTTGCTACCCAGCAGACAACTGAAATATTTACCGATACAAGACTACTACACTGAGCTGCGACTATTCAGAGTTGTTCTGAAACACAGCGTTTTACCAGTAAGGCTTCATTTAGTTTTTTCAAATGGAAGATCCCCACGAACGCTAAGCTATGGTAAGAGAGATTATTGTTGACACACATCCTTTTCTATGCTTACCGGGGCAGGGATAATCGTCCGTAAAATTCAATTTCACCTAAAAATTCCCTTAAAGGAGAAATATTTTAGAATCTGGACAGGGCAGAAAGCAAAGTCAACGTTCCAAAGGTCACTAAACCTTAAATTTTTTTTTGTCGACTTCCAAATACTCCACTGAGAAGCAGACAAGCTGATGAGGCCGCATCTCTGTGCTTTCATGAGTCCCTGCCCTCCGTTTTCCTCGCTCTCCTAACAGAGCAACCTTTTCCCTATTCCTTCTCCTAGAGGTCGAAGGGCGTCATGGCGGCGGCTGCTGGGCAACCCGGCTGCCTGCACACTCCCTCCCCTCACGGTCGTGGTCGAAATTCAGAACCTCTAGGCTGTAAAGAGAACCCAAGCTGCACGCCTGCCGAGCGGAAAGCTAGAGAAGAGAGGCCAACCTGCAAACCCCACCTCCAGGCCGTGCCCGCCCTGGCTCCTGCCCGCCCCTCGGTGGACCGCCGCCGCCTGCGTTCTCCCTCTGGGCCCTCGCAGGCCTCCGCGCCCGCCCATGTGCCCGGGTCGGCGGGCTGACGCCGCGCTCACCGTTGACCAGCGCCGGGGCCTTCTCCGCGAGGTTACGGACAAACTGGGCCATGGTTCCAGGACTGAAAGGCCGTCAGGCCGACTGGCCGGCTGAATGTCACCAGCCCGGAAGGACCTGCCGCAGGACCCCGTTCCGCTTCCAAGGTCAGGCCGCCTCCTTCCGCGCCGGTCCAAGATATTTAGATGTCCTACTATTTTTCCGGAATCTAGTTAGCCAACTTATTTTCTTCAGTCACAGAGAAGAAAGTGGGTACGAGAAGACGATATCAGGGAGCATTTAAAGAAAAACGGGTTTCGTAGAGAAACAGGCATATCTTGGGGCAGCCGCGCAGGGAGGTCCGGAAGACCGGCGCGAGGAGGGAAGGCGCATGCGCCAGAAGTGTGCCGTGCTGCCCGTGACGCAGACCTCCAACCACTTCTCCGTGGATGGGGCTTTTGCAGTTTTCTTAAGAGAATGTGGCGAGTTAGGGCTAGAAGGCATCACTGCGATTTTTCGCAGCCAACAGGATCATCTTACAAAGGCAGAGATGGTCCTAAGCCAAACTCGTAAAGTTAGGGGCGGAGCAGGAGCCACACAACCTGTCACCTGACTCAGCCCATTGCCTTTCTGTAGTCGGCTCTTTTATAATCCCAGGCTCCCTCGCATCCTGTGTCAGGATTGGAATCCAAGTCCCTTAATTCCCTAACCAGCCACAAGGAACTATGCAGATATAAGGAACAAAATGCCATTTACTGAGGGCTTCCAGTCTGCCAGGCATTTTGGAATTTAAAGAAAGCCTGTGTGTTAGGTAATGTACCCATTTAAGACTGGAACTGATAAATGGCCACACAGCTAATGAGTGGCAGAGCTGGGATCTGAAGAGGTTGCAGCGTGAACAGAAAAGGGGCACTAGTATCGGGTTAGACATGGTGCTGATTTGGGAAGACTTCCTAGAGAGGGAGATCCTTGATGTTTTACGAACAGCTATATACTACAGAGTTGAAACTTTATGGTTAAGTATGACTGAAAGAAAAGATATATGTAGGGAAGTGGCATTTGAAAAGAAAAAACAAGTAATGTACCCAGGGGAAGCCTGAGCAGAAGTAAAACTGATTGATGGAATGGTTGGAGGTGGAATGAAAAATTACTGGTATCAGGAGCCAAGAACAGCATTTCACTGAAGGTATTCAGGTGCCTGATACTACAGAGAAGTCAAATTAAGAATGAGAAAGCTAATTTAGCAATATGAAAACAGCTAGAGCAGTTTCAAACAATTAGGATAGAAGCCAGAATGAATGAAGAAATACGGCTATAAAGGAATACAAGTCAGAAAACCAAATATGAGATGTAAAACTAGGAGAGATTGAAGATGGAGAAGGGGGATTGACAAGATTCCTGTTGAGGCAGGAAATAAGGTAGGAAGGATTGGCCTTGGAATGGTGGGGACAGATGGGACAATGGAAGAAGTCTGAAAGTGGAAATTCTGGTCTGTGAAGTAGAAGGCAAGGTCATCTTAAAGTGAAGGGTAATTGGGAGGGTGGGAGAAAATCTGAGGAAAGAGGTTAACGTTTGGAATATCTTGAAGTTTAAGGACAAACAGAAGGGTTGCTGCGTGATGTTTGTAGACAAGTTTGTGGTCGCACCACTCTAAAAATTGTGCCATTTTTCTCCATTAGTAGTCCGTAGCTTGGATATTGGAGCAGAGTGGAGTGGTTGGGTTAATCTGGGCTGAGGTCTTGAATAGCAGAGGTACAGAAACAAGAGGCAAGAAAGGGGAACATGATAGTGAATGATTAAAATGGAAGACCTGGGGTTCAGAGCAGATGAAGAAAAGTGAAGCCAAAATTGAACTGCTTAGGGAAAAACATGCCCTGAAGCTCATCTTCTGAAGATAACTCCAGGGTCCAGGACCCTGGTAAGGCAGGTTAGGTTAGCCAGGTCACACACATTTGGTATGAATTTTTTTTAAAAAGTGAAGTTCAGAGTCCTCAAGTTTTCAGAGGGATTTCTGAAACTGCACTAGCTTTTAATACTATAATAAAGGAAGTGATGACAAAGTTGTAAGTCAGGTGTTCGTTTATTAAATACAAGCTTTGAACAAACACCCCCAGGCAAGTTTGACAAGAAGTAACCTTCCTGGAATGTTTCAAAATACAGTTATGTTGATCAAGTTTTATTTCAGTCAAACTTTTTGTCATTTTGTTCTTCACCTTCTTTGTTTCTAGTTCTTTTTCTTTTCCTGTTTAGCAGTTAGAGCATGTGCATTATTACCTCACATGACATCAACAGTGCAGCATCAGCCTCTGGCTTGTAAAGGCACCCAGTAGACTTATGCTCTATGCAGTGGTTGCTTAGCAACCAGCATCAAATAAAGTAATGAAGCTTTTGTAGAGTGATACCAAATAGTAACTGGCACCTTCACCTGCACCATTAAAAAAACCTTTAAAGTTTCTTTCAGTTTTCACATATCCATTAAAACTATATTAAAACAAACAAACAAACCCAGATTGCTTGATAAAACCTACTTAAATTTTCCAAGTTTAGTATTACCCTCTTAGTAAGCAATACTAGAGCTGATTAAAGAGTCTTCATTTTCCTATCAAACCCTAGCAAAGCCAACACATAAACCTAGGTATGTCAGAAAGTCTGCTCTAATAGATTTAGGGCTGCTTCTGAGGTCCAGACAACACAACACGTCTTTAAGCTTCCAAGTGCATATATGCACCATGTTGTACCAAGACAGTAATTTTTTATTCTCATTTTTGGGATATTCTCAAATTACTTCAAGGAAAGAAAAAAGGCACGGAGGACATTTGGTTTCCTCACCAATAGTGGCCTTAAACTATGCACTTGCCTTTGTAATAAGTTTAAAGATGTTCAGCAGCATTAATGGTGCCATAGCCATTCATAAAAAGAGCTTAAAAAAAAGAAAAAGCTTGCCAGAAAAGGCTTAAAATCTGAAGACTAAATACAGAAGTAGAATACAGACACAGATATAAGAGGCAGCCTCAAGGTTGTTAACTAGAAAGCTGCTGGGAAAAGCTGCCTTCTGAGGTTTTGTGCCCATTTTTTCCTCCAATTTTCTCCTATAAAACTCTGGTCTTTTCCCCACTTCTTTTAAAAATGGAAATATCCTATTAGATTGGGTCTGGAAGATAAATGCAAGTAGATAGAAGCTTATTTTATACAGTTCATTCTCAAGAGAATTAAAGGAAGATAATAAATACAAAATTAAACTCATTTTAAGAAAATAAATCTGTCAACCCATGCCTTAAAGGCCCAGGGAGCACACTGAATTACTATCATACATTCTGGCATTTGCAAGAGTCCTAGACTGCATTTTTCATTTATAAGCACAGCAACAGGCAATACCTACTTTGTATCTAGCGTGGGATGCCCTCTGACTTGAGGGTTTCCAGCTGATACCATCAAAAACACGTCAAGGACTGCTTATAACAACTTGTGTTGGAGTATCACAGAACTATCGTCTTATTTGAGAGGCCGTGGTTAACAATAATGTCCTCTAAATGAAGCAATGACTCGTTTCTAGATCATATCACTCTTCTTGTTGCTTAACATTTTCGGGCTTAGAGAAACAGTGATATAGATAGTCCATAGGGGAATGTGCCTCTCTCAGCATGTTAAACTGCACAGTTGAGTAGAATAGGGAACTCAAGCTCAAGTGGTTAAAGTGGGTCCCACCCACCTACTACCTACATAGGACTAAGTGGATATTTAGAATGGCTTGTGGAGCAGGTTGTGCTCAAATTCCTACTCTGTTAATTGATGACCTAAGGCTGAGTTAGAAGCAGCTCTTAGAAGTCAGGTCATAAGTCCAAATAAACATTAACTATATACATTTTATAGTCTCAATTTTGTCTAGAATTAAGATTAGTAAACATGGCCACACACTGCATACACCTTACCATGGAAGAGACAATATAAAGTGGTACTCAGTTTACAGTAGACCAATATAAAAAAGCACATGGTGTATATATATACTAAGATATACCTTTGATATTAGTGTCTTAAAATGACATTTTTCATGGTTACAGTATTTGTTGCCTAACTTTTCTACTCAAGCCTAGTCCTCAATTTCCATAAGACAAAAAGGGCCCAACAACCTTTATTTTTTTACCTTGGAATTTTCTGAATAAAGTGTCAAAACTGCAAATTTGTCTCACCAATCCTACTAAAAATATTATAGGGCTAAGTTTTCTGTTATAGGGCTAAGTTTCTGTGGTAATGACAACCCCATGGGGGAGTATTTGCCCTCCAAGATATCTTTGAGTTACAAGATAACACAAAACTAAGAGCTACCAACAGAAGTTGCGTAAGATTCCTTTTTTCATCTCATCTATCACCTTCTTCAAAAACTATACTCAAACATCAAAGTATCTGCTTTTATGTAAAAAGTCATTCCGTAACATTGCAGAGCTGTAATAAGGAAAAGGGCTGAAGTCAGGGTTGTGGAGACCAGTAAATACCTTGATAACACAGGACTTTATGGTATCAGCTGTCACTGAAATATGTGACATCAGATATTTAAAAGCAGTGCACACCAAAGATGTTTGAGCAGTTCTTGGAAGAGAAATAGTAAGGTGGCAGGAGGTTTTAGTAGTTGAAGTTAATCTATTTAAGGTAGGAAAAGGAAGAAGAAAGAATAGAAAGAGATAACAAAGGGTAAAAGTTAGTGATGATTTCTAAACATGGTGATGCTATAAGAAGTATAATTTCCTGCAGGCCAGGAGAGCATTGTAAAGTTCTTAGGAATTTTAATTATCATAATTTGAGCAAGAGCAGTTCTCTAATTTAGTAAAGAAAAAAAAAAGGCAAGAAAAAGGAAAGGAACAGAACCAGAAAGAGAGAAACCACAAACAATTGTTTATCTACACTCTGGGGCTGGTTTTTGGTTTGTTTAGGTCACAGTATTTATTCAAGTTGCTCCTTTTGTTGTTGTTTCCTCTCTGCGAGCCACCGCTGGATTTTTTCTTTTAGTTCTGTGTTTGGCCGGATCTGGTCCATGGTGAGGGGACTACGGTTAAAGGGATCTGTTTGGTCACTGGGACAAAGAGAGAAAGGGAAACAGGGTTATTTACGTAAGTTCTAACATCCTCAGCCAAAAACAGAACACCTGGGCATCTCCGCTGGAGACAAGCTAGAGCGCATTAATGA